TGAGGCAGCACTACTGGTGGAGGCGGATGAAGAAGGATATAGTTGGTTATGTGTCTAGATGCCTCAACTGCCAGCAGGTGAAGTATGAGCACCAGCGCCCGGGTGGGTTGCTCCAGCAGATAGAGATTCCGGAGTGGAAATGGGAGCGCATCACCATGGATTTTGTATCTGGACTTCCACGGACCTTGAAGAAGTTTGATTCCATTTGGGTTATTGTGGATCGACTGACCAAGTCCGCTCATTTCATTCCTGTGTGTACCACTTATTCATCGGAGCGGTTGGCGGAGATTTATATCCGGGAGATCGTCCGTCTGCATGGTATTCCAGTTTCTATTATTTCAGACAGAGGTACTCAGTTTACATCACGGTTCTAGAGAGCCGTGCAGCAGGAGCTAGGTACTCGGGTGGAGTTGAGCACAGCATTTCACCCCCAGACGGACGGACAGTCCGAGCGCACTATTTAGATTCTTGAGGATATGCTCCGTGCGTGTGTGATTGAGTTTGGAGGGTCTTGGGATCATTTCTTGCCATTGGCGGAGTTTGCTTACAACAACAGTTATCAGTCCAGCATTCAGATGGCGCCGTATGAGGCTTTATATGGTAGGAGGTGTAGATCTCCGGTGGGTTGGTTTGAGCCGGGTGAGGCCAGGCTATTGGGCACAGAGTTGGTTTAGGACGCTTTGGAGAAGGTTAAGATGATTCAGGATAGACTCCGTACAGCCCAGTCCAGACAGAAGAGTTACGCGGACAGGAAGGTTTGTGATGTTTCATATATGGTCGGAGAGCGGGTTCTACTTCGGGTTTCGCCTATGAAAGGCGTTATGAGATTTGGGAAGAAAGGGAAGTTGAGTCCGAGGTTTATTGGCCCTTTTGAAATTTTGAGGCGAGTTGGGGAGGTTGCTTATGAGCTTGCCTTACCTCCCAGATTGGTCGGGGTTCATCCGGTATTTCATGTTTTGATGCTCCGGAGGTATCACAGTGACCCATCACACGTGTTGGATTTCAGTTCAGTCCAGTTGGACAAGGACCGATCCTATGTTAAAGAGCCAGTGGCTATATTTGACAGGCAGATCAGAAAGTTGAGGTCAAAGAACATTGCTCCAGTAAAAGTTCAGTGGCGGGGTCAGCCGGCCGAGGAGGCGACCTAGGAGACCGAGCAGGATATGTGCAGCAGTTACCCTCATCTTTTCACTACTTCAGGTATGTCTTTATGCTCGTTCGAGGACGAACAAATGTTTAAGTGTAGGAGGATGTGACGACCCGGCCGGCCGTCTTAAGAATTAACACCCTGATCCCCTATTAAATGCTTTCCCCAAGTTTATTTCAGCTATTTTTATTTTCCGGGACGTTCGATTTTGAGTTTCGAAGAGTTTCGGGACACTTAGTCCCTAAATAAGAGCTGAAGTGTTGGAAAATTGTCCATAGTCAGAACAGTGTGAAGGCGGCCTCGTAATGGAAATCCGATGGTTCCGTTAGCTTCGTTAGGTGATTTCCTGGTTGGGAGCATGTTCGGAACGTGTTTTAGAGGTCCGTAGCTAATTTAGGCTTGAAATGACGAAAGTTCAAATTTTGAAGTTTCCGGTTCGATAGTGAGATTTTGATCCGAGGGTCGGAATGGAATTTCGGAAGTTGCACTAGCTTCGTCATGTCATTTGGGATGTGTGTGTAAAATTTCAAGTCATTTGGACGAGGTTTGGGTAGGTTTTTGATCGAAAGCGTGTTTTGTTAGAATTTGAAGTCCTTAGGCTTAAATCATGGGTTAATTCGAGTTTCCGACGTTGTTTTAGGTGGTTTAAGGGTTGGTACAAGTTTGAATGATGTTATGGGACAGGTCCGTAGGTTTGGTTGGGGTCCCGGGGGCCTCGGGTATGTTTCGGATGCTCAACGGGCCATTTCCTCCTATTTTTGAACTGTTGTTGCTGCTTCTGGTATGCCTCTATCGCGTTCGCGGGCTGGCCTTCGTGATCGCGAAGGCTTAATTTGACCACTTGGAATTTTCCTCTACGCGTTCGCGTAATCCCTCCCGCGTTCCCGAAGCCTAGCTTACTTCCCCACCGCGTTCGCGTAAGCTGTCATGCGTTAGCGAAGGGTAACTCCTGGACCTCGCTATTATTCTTCATCACGATCGCGTTCCAGACGTCGCGTTCGCGTAGCTTCATGATCCCAGGCCTTCGCGTTCGCGTTCTCCCCCTCGCGATCGTGAAGGGATTTTTTGGATACTTCTATTTTCCTTCTTCGCGGACGCGACCTTACTTCCGCGTTCGTGATGCATAACGGGCCTGGGCAGTATTAAATCATTCAAAATCGAGGGTTAGCCATTTTTATCAAAATGCAAGCTTGGGAGCTCGGATTTGGGGGAAATTTTGAAGGTTTTTCGAGGGCAACTACTGGTTAACGATTCTCTACTCTCTTATACTTAAAATCCACTAATCTAATCACGAATTCATCCTTAATTTTGGATTTTTGAATGAAAAATGGGGAAAACTTCATAGACCAAACTATTGAGTTTTGGGTGGGTATTTGGCCTCCGATTTGGGAGATTTTTATATGCTTAGACTCGTGAGAGTACGAGGGTTCTAAAAATGTGAAAATTATCCGGTTCCGAGACGTTGGCCCGAGGGGCATTTTGGTCATTTTACCTAAATTCGCGTCTTAGCTTTAAATTAAATAGTAGAATTAGTTGCTTGTGATGTTATTTACAATGTGTAATTGAATTGAATAGATTTGGGCCATTTGGAGTCGGATACTTGTGGCAAAAGTGTGGTTTCGAGTTGATTTTGGAGCCGGTTTCAGGTAAGTGGCTTGTCTAACCTTGTGTGGAGGACCTTTCCCCTTAGGATATGATATTGGTAATAGAATGCCTTGTACGTGAGGTGACGAGCGCGTACTTGAGCTAATTTTTGAAAAATTCGGTTTTACTTTAAATATTTAGACTGGGTTTCTTTCTTATCTGCTTTACTTTATTTGCAATTATAGACCGTGTTAGCTAGAAAAGCATGCTTAGTTGTTCCAAATTGCCTATATGCTAATGTTGCCTTGTTTGTACTATGTGAAGCATCTTAGGCTAGAACTACATTTAGTAAATTATTTACTAAATACCACATATGTCCCCATTTAAAATATTGGGGGTATTACATCTTCCCCATCTTATGAAATTCGGTCCCCGAATTTAACTCAAGTACGTACCTGTAGACTGAAAAAAATGGGGATACTTCGCTTGCATATCTTTTTTCACCTCCCAAGCAGCTTTTTCAACGGTATAATTTCTCCGTAAAACTTTAACGAACACAATTTTTTTTTGACCGTAGCTTTTTTACTTGTCTATCAACAATAGCCATCGGCTCCTCCTCGTAGGACAACTTCTCATCGAGAGGTATAGTCGGTGCTTCAATCACATGAGATGAGTCTGATATACATTTTCTTAGCATTGATACATGTAACATTGGATGAATAAAGGAAAACTCAGGAGGAACTGCCAAACGGTAAGCCACCGCGCCCACTCGGTCTAGTATCTCATACGGTCATATAAACCTGGGGCTCAACTTGCCTCTTTTCCTAAACTGCATTACACCTTTCATAGGGGAGACTCGTAGGAACACTTTGTCTCCAATTGTGAACACTAAATCTCTTCTTCTCTTATCATCATAAAACTTTTGTCTGCTTTGAACCGTAAGCAATCTCTGTCTGATCAACTGGACTTTGTCCATAGCTTCTTGTACTAAGTCGGGTCCCAATAAGTTAGTCTCACCAGCTTCAAACCATCCGATCGGAGAACGACATCTTCTACCATACAATGCTTCGTACGGTGCCATTTGACTACTGGACTGGGAGCTATTGTTGTATGCAAATTCAACTAAAGGTAGATAAGCATCCCAACTACCTCCAAACTCAGGAATACAAGCTCTCAACATATCCTCCAAGATCTCTATAGTACGTTCAGACTACCCATCTGTCTGTGGATGAAATTCAGTACTAAGATCTACTCCTGTATCCAACGCTTCTTGAAAAGATTTCCAAAAGTGTGAGGTAACTTGTGATCCTCTATCAGAGATGATGGATATTGGAACTCCGTGAAGTCGAACAATTTTATTTATAAATATCTGTGCATACCTCACTCCACCATATGTAGTCTTTACTAGCAAAAGGTGTGTTGATTTCGTCAGTCGATCTATAATCACCCATACAGAGTCATAACCTCTAAGTGTTTGTGGTAGACCGGTGACAAAATCCATAGTAATTTGTTCCCATTTCCACTCCGGAATATCAATTTGTTGTAGTAGTCCTGCGGGTCGCTGATGCTCAGCCTTGACCTGCTGACAAGTCAAACAACTAGAAACAAAGTTAGCAACATCTTTCTTCATACCTTCCCACCAATAAAATTGCTTCAAATCATGGTACATTTTTGTGGATCTAGGATGTATAGTGTATTTAGAGTTGTGGGCTTCTTCAAGAATAGCATGTCTTAACCCATCTATGTATGCTAAACATAGCCTGTCACCCATTCAAAGAACACCATCATTTTCAACAATCATATCCTTGCTTATACCAGCTAAGGCCTCATTTCTATATTTGCATAATCTCTCATCCGCATATTGGGTGGCCTTAATGCGCCCAACTAATGAAGACTTGGCATGAGCACAAGCCAACAAAGCCTCTGAATTTCTGACACTAAATTTGATACATATATCTTCTAGTCTCTGAATATGTTTGGCCAAAAGTCTCTTTGCTGGAGCTATGTGTGCCAGACTCCCCATAGATTTTCTACTCAATGCATCAGCCACCACATTGGCTTTCCCAGGATGATACAAAATAAAACAATCATAGTCTTGGAGTAGTTCTATCCAACGACGCTGCCAATTTAGATCTCTCTGCTAAAAGATATACTTCAGATTTTTATGGTCAGTACAAATCTCGCAAGTTTTGCCATATAGGTAATGCCTCCAAATTTTTAGAGCAAATACCACTGCAGCCATCTGCAAATCATCTGTAGGATAGTTTTGCTAGTGCTTTTTCAATTTTCTCGAAGCATAATCTATAACACGACCATTTTGCATGAGAACACTTCCTAATCCCACCCTCGAGGCGTCACAAAATACTGAAAATCTTCCGGAACCTGATGGTAAGGCTAATATTGGTGCAGTTGTCAAACATGTTTTCAGTTTTTGAAAGCTCTGCTCACATTCCTCCGTCCACTGAAACTTCGCCTTTTTCTGTGTTAGCTTGGTCAGCGGCACTGCTTTTCTGGAGAAATCCTGCACAAAACGTCTGTAATAGCCTGCTAAGCCTAAAAAGCTATGAATCTCTGTAGGAGTAGTAGGCCTGGGCCATTTCTGCACAGCTTTTGGGTTCTTAGGATCTACCATAATTCCATGTATGGATACAACATGCCCTAGAAATGATACCGAGTCTAGCCAAAGTTCACACTTTGAGAACTTAGCATAAAGTCGATGTTCTCGCAATGTCCGCAACACAGTCCTATGATGATCCTCGTGTTCTCCTTGGCTATGAGAATATATCAGGATATCACCATAAATACTATTACAAACCTATCCAAAAACAGCTTGAACACCCTATTCATTAAATCCATGAATGCCGTTGGAGCATTAGTCAGTCCGAAAGGCATCACAAGAAACTCATAGTGCCCGTATTGAGTTCTGAAAGCAGTCTTACAAATATCTTCATCTTTGATTCTAAGTTGATGATAACCAGAACGGAGATCAATCTTTGAAAAGGGCAGCTCCTTGTAACTGATCAAACATGTCATCTATACGAGGCAAAGGATATTTATTGCGTATTGTTATCTTATTCAACTGCCTGTATTCAATGCACATTCTCAGGGATCCGTCTTTCTTCTTTACGAACAGTACCGGTGCACCCCATGGTGATACACTAGGTCTAATAAAACCCTTATCTAACAAATCCTGTAACTGTTGCTTTAGCTCCCTCAACTCTGCTAGTGCCATCCGATATGGCGGTATTGATACGGGTTGTGTGTCAGGTGGCAAATCAATACCAAAATCTATTTCTCGTACTGGAGGCAATCCTAGTAAATCCTCATGAAATACATCAAAAAATTCTCTCACTACCGGTACATGTTTTATGCTAACTGTTTCCTTTCTTGTGTCATTTACAATAGCAAAGAGACCCAAGCAACCTTTCTTCAGAAGTCATTGAGCCTTCATAAGAGATACTATTTTGCAAGTCTCTAGAACCTGACTCCCTCTTAGAATAAAACTAGGTTCGTTTGGTATCTCAAACTTGACTATCTTTGCATGACAACCGATGCTAGCATAACGAGAAGATAACCAATACATTCCCATCAGCATGTCAAAGTCAATCATATCAAGTACAATAAGGTCAGCTCGAGTATCTCTACCCTCAACCCGAATCTGAGAAGCACGATACACGTATTAGGCTAATAGAGACTCTCCAACAGGAGTAGCAACTAGAAAATGATCATTCAATAGCTCAGGCTGTCTACTAAACCTCAAAGCAAAGTACAAGGACACATAGGAGTGAGTAGACCCCGGATCAATCAACGCAAGTGCATCAAATTAACAGATAGAAAGAATACCTGTAACCACAGCATTCGAGGCATGAGCATCCTATCTAGTAGATGCAAAAACTCTGGCCTGACCTTTACCAACATTCCCTTGTCCTTGATTCACAGTAGCATGGTTTCCAGCACCTCGACCTCTATTTCCTTTACCTGTAGCACATGAAGTCTTACTAGTAGTCTGAGTCGGTGCAGCTGACTGAATAGAAGCCTGGTTGAAATTTCTCGAAGGTTGAGGGCAATCCCTCAAGTGAGTCTCAACTGGCCACACCGAAAGCACTCTCCAGTTAGAACACGACATTGGCCCAAATGTGATCTACCATAGGTCTGGCAGACTGGAGTAGTGGCATATATCTGCCAAGAATTACGATTATCCAGAAGATGATGGTCCCCTATTACCTTGTCTGTAATGTGGTCTGTATGTGGACTGTGAAGACATGTGTGTCCCTGTCTAAGAACCCTGTTGTTGTTGTTGTTGTCCCTGATTTCATGCTCTTCTATTTTCACTTAAACCGCCACTGAAAGCCCCTCCTGTCTTGGCCTTCTTACGTAAATCACTAGGTGCACGCTCATCACGTCCCTTGTTTTCAATCTTTCTAGCAAGGTCGACTACATCAGAGTAGGATAAAGTCTTCATCTATGGGGCTGCTGTAGTGTATAGACGACCAACCAATCCATCAACAAGCCTCTGAACTCGAGCTTCTTCGGTAGGCACTAAGTAAGGAGCATATATAGCCAACTTACAAAACCTAGTGTTATATGACACGTCCATATCTGGAGTCTGAACCATTCTCTTAAAGTCTCTAGCATATTTTTGCATCAGGCTGTCTGGACGAAAATGATTCTTGAACAACTTAGTGAACTTGTCCCATTTCAGTGGTGTTGCTCTTGCTGGCCTTCCTAGCAATACAGTTTCATACCATGTGTTGGCCATATCCTCTAGTTTGTGCTGCGAGCTCCACGGCTCTCACACTAGAACATCCAAGAGCACATAATGCCTTGAGTGTCCCGTCCAAGAAACTTTGAGGATCTGTTGAATTACCGGAACCTGTGAATTTTGGTGATTTCAATTTCAGAAACTCTTGTAGAGATACTTTCTTATTCCCGAAAGTCTGAGTCTGTGTAGGTGCTTGTGTCTGTAAAGTAGCCTAAGGAGCTGCACTTCCACCCTGAGTAGGCACCAATGCCTGTAACATATTCAATAACCTTGCCACTGCGTTTGCAGGTAAGGCAACAGTAGGTACAATAGTTGGCACTGGTTGTGGAGCGTCCGAACTCCCAGCCCTTGCACTTGATTTGGCATCACAGCTTGGGGTTGACCTATGTTCCCAACCTCATATTGAGGAGCAGTCTGTCTTCTAGTTTGATGAACCCCAGCTTGACCTCCACCCCGGGTAGTACCACGTCTAGCACCACGTCCAACAGATGAGGGTGTGCGTGTCCTAGCCATCTGCGAAAGAAATTCTCCAAAGTCAATCTAAAGTTATCTCAATGCACGATCAGAGAATGAATGAAGGGAAAACATTTCCTGTGAGCACGTGATTTTTGCCTCGCTTGAACCATTCTTATCAAATTCTTAAAAATTAGGATTTTTCATTATTATTTGAATTTTAGGGAATTAATTGCATGATTTTATTAGTTAATTAATATTACCAAAATAAGAGAAAAATAACAAAAATAGTCATTTTACATTTTTTGTTTAGCTTTCTTTTTAAATAAGGATTTAGTTTATTTTAGAAAAATTAATTAGTCTAATTTTGGAGTTAAATTAGGTTTTGTTAGTTTTAATTTTGCAAAGAAGAAAATAAAGAAAGAATAGAAATGAAAACCAACAAAAGAAAAATGAAATGAAGGAAAAGAAGAAGCAGTCCAGTCTTTTGGGCCATCTGGCTAGCCCAATTGACACAATGCGCCCAACCCACGCCCGTCTAGCCCAAACCACACCCGGTCCAGACCCCGTATTAATAAAACAACGTCGTTTTGAGTCAATAAAGGGCGAATTAATCTAAGCCCTTCGTCCTTCCTAATCCAACGGCCATTAATTAACCTTGGCTTCTAAATATAAATGTCCAAACTTGTCAAAAACCCTAAAGACAAACCTCCTCTTCCTCGTACCCCTGTCACCTATCCGTCTCCCACCATCAGACCACCGTGTCTCCACCATCCTCCGCCTTCCGCCGCCGGCCGAAAATCGCATCCGCCGGCAGCGAACCTCCAAACTCGCCCAATTTTACACCACTAACCCATCTCAACCTCTTCGTTCCGAATCCACGATCCATTTCCCCCAAAACACACCCAAGACCTTCGAATCTTGAATCAAAGTTCCGGCCCAAAACCCTAACTCCTTCAAAATTCCCAAAAATCACACCCTACACTCTCCTAACCCTCCTCTACCTAAACCCCAAACCATTTTCCCCTCAACCCAACCGCCACTTTTAAAATTTTAGATCTAGGGTTTTATAAAAACTGGTTGAATTTTTTTCCAAGGACTATCAAGTGTCGATTTGAGTTCCCAAATAAATTTATATGTTTGTTCTTACCAAGAACAAACATATAACATTATTTGGGGACTCGATTCGAATTCAGTCACTAAAGACCAAATCAGTAAGTTCTTCCTTCTTATTCGATTGTATTTTTTCATTTTTTTCTTTTTGTTGGTTGATTCTGTCTTTGCATCGTTTCCGAGTTTTATTTCATTTTTTATTTTGATTGATTTTTCTAATAGTCAATCCATGTCAAGTGCTTGTTCTTTATTTTCTTTTTTTTACTGATTAGTTTGGTTAAATTTGATTTTTTTTTGTTCTTCTTAGTTAATTCAGTTTGAATCCAATGTTCTTAGAATTCAGGTTTTGTTAGTTTTAGAGAATGGTTCTTTTCAATTCCTTGGTTGATTATTACTTTGGTTTAATTGATAGTTTGATAGTAGCATGAACTAGGATTAATCTTCAGTTTTGTTTAGCATTCGATAATTCAATTTTAGAGTTTTTAAATTGTTTTGGTTATAGCTGAATAGTCTAGACCCTTATTTAGTTAACCATGGTTAGTAAAAGGGGCTGGAGTCGACTAGTATAGGATTAGTAATTTCAAGGGAGTTCAGGGGTAACTTAGGTATTTCAGATTGGATAGAAATGCAGCAATTGAAACTGGAACCTACTAGAATCTTATAGAAGAGGTTTCTAGTTAGAATTTCAGTAACTTGATAATGTAACTTGGGAAATAAGTCAGTAAATAAGGGACTAAACTGTTAAAATTTGAAAATAAAAGAGGGACTAAGGGTGTAAATTGCAATCTGAAGGCAGCCCTAGGCTTTGCCTATAAAAAGGCATGTCCATTGCCTTGTTTCACAAGTTTTGGCATCTGAAATACTCCCCCCAAAAAGTTTCTGCGGGTTTGGAAGCTCTGAAAATTCGAATTTCAAATTCCAAAAGCCAAATCTAAAATTTAGAGTTAGAAAGTTCTTTTAGATCTTAAATCTTCAGAAAACCCATAAAAAGTACTGTTTTATTACAGTTTTTTCCTCCGATTAGTGTTAAACTCCAGTTATTAGCTCGAATTTCTAGCTTAAACGAGATGAAAATGGCTTGAAATACATGTGTTTGGGTTGCTGAAGCTTCAGAAGTGTCCTGGGTGCAAATTTGAGTCTCTTTTGGTTCAATCAAGTTTGTTTTGGTCATCTATTGGGTGCTGTAATTCTATAGTTCACTCCTGGGTTTTGTGAAGCTGTGTTGGTTCTAAAATTGTCCCTGCTGCTGTTGTTTAACCTTGCTGATTGATCACTACCGCTGCTGACTCCATCTCCTTCTTTTGTGTTTAAATTTCCAGGTACATGTTCTGACTTTGAAGCAATATGAATGTCCAGTTGAAAGATGAAATAAGACTTGCTGCCTGATTTTGTTATAAATTTTGTTGTGGTTTGTTAATGTTCTTATTGTAAATAGATTTGAACTGTTAGGCCTGTTAATAGACTGTACTGGACTGTTCTAATTGGACTATATAAATTGTTGTCTCAGTTTTGTATTAATGTAGCTAGGTAGTATAATGCTAGTATAATTCGAGTGCATTTAGAGTTTAATGCCTTGTTAATAGACATTGAATCATAGTTATGTTAAAACCGTGTTGGACTGTATAAGACTCAGCTGGTTTTAGTTGTTTAAACAAGGTCTGTGATATAGCTGGTGTTTAGATGAACAATGAACTAAGGAATTGAATGTATTGTTATTTGCTGGCCTTCGTGTGAAATTCAAATAGGATGTAAGTGATGTTAGTTCAAGTATGAAAATGGTTTGAGATTAATTCAAACAAACAGAATCAGGTTTCAAGCATATGTAAAGTTCTTCCTGGATTTAACAGTTATACGCTATTACTTCTATGTGTTAATGACTATTTTCCTGCTGATTTTGTCCATTCGTTGACTAGTGGTTTTATGTGTTAAGTCACCATCTAGTTAACACTAGGAATTACAATAATAATCAGGTCCTAGTTCATAATATACATAGTAATTAGACCCTGGTTTATAGTGTGCACACATCAATGTTATGGTTAATTCTCCCCTGATTTACGTTATTTGCGCCAAAACTGGGCCCAACGTTTGGCCCAGCTACTCAATGGAAAACCAAGCTCATTTTAGATCGGACTGGATTTTAATAAAGCCCAAATCAGGACAGCTTCATATTTCATAAATTGGGCTAATTTTTGAAGCCTGGAAAATGCTGAAGGTGGGGATTTATATTAAGATCATAGAATTAAGTTGGTAACATGGTTTTGGGCCTTCTCGTTAGGTGGCATGCTTGAATTAAGAGGTGTGCCTCTTGTTCAAGTGTGGACTTGAACTTGAGGCCCAAATTCCTTGTTTACTTTAAATAATAGCAATTAATAATGCTAATTAATTAGGCCCTTTTTAGAGACATATTCAATAGAAAATAATAGTCCCTTTTTAGAATGGCCTTTAAATAATTAAATGAGGTGAGCCACACCAAATAAAACTCATAAATTGCGTGGCCCTCTTTAAATGCTTATAATAAAATACTTAGAATTCGGGATGTGCCGTTTAGCGAATTTTCACGGCCTCCCGCGAAGTTAATAACACGTTAGTCGCTTTAGCCGCGCTTTTTAATAATCTTACCTTCCTAAACACGGGTGTGCATTTCATGCGACCCAAATCCAAATCCCAAAATGTTGAATAAAATGTGTCGAAGATCCGGGTGCATTTCATGTGACGTGATCTGAAAACATATTTTAAACGACGTTCAATCTCCTAAAACTTTATTATTAATCTAAAGCGGTAAAAAATTCTAAAACTGCACTATCGGATGACATGTATTAAAATTAGATTTTCAGCCAAGTATAATATTTTAAGCGACCGTGCTAGAACCACGGGATCCGGGGGTACCTAACACCTTCTCTCGGGTCAACAGAATTCCTTATTCAGAATTTCTAGTTCGCAGACTCCATTCGGGAAGTCGAAATTTCCTCGACATGGAATTCAAGATAAACCAGTGACTTGGGACACGAAAAGCCAAACCTATCCCAAGTGGCGACTCTGAAATAAATAAATAATCCCATTTCGAATAATGTCACTTAAAATGGAAAAACTCCCTTATACACTATCTTTCGGGGAAGGTGTGTAAAAAAGGAGGT